TATTAAATACAAATGTAATATGTATGACATTGTGTGTATATATATACAATCTCTAATACTGCTGCTTGTTGTCTTTTGTACAGGCTGCTTTCAACTGAATTTGTTTTATTATTGTTATTCCCCACATGCCGTATTAAACGCCATTTATTGTCCACATTCCGTTTTAAACGCCACTTGTTGTCCACATGCCGCTTTACGCGCCACTTGTTGTCCACATGCCATTTTAAACGACATTTATTGCCCACATGCCGCTTTACACGCCATTTATTCCCCACATGCCGTTTTAAACGGCACTTGTTGTCCACATGCCGCTTTACACGCCATTTATTCCCCACATGCCGTTTTAAACGCCACTTGTTGTCCACATGCCGCTTTACACGCCATTTATTCCCCACATGCCGTTTTAAACGCCACTTGTTGTCCACATGCCGTTTCAAACTCCACTTGTTGTCCACATGCCGTTTTAAACGCCATTTATTCCCCACATGTCGTTTTAAACACCATTTATTCCCCACATGCCTTTTTAAACGCCACTTGTTGTCCACATGCCGTTTTAAACGCCATTTGTTGTGTACATGCCACTGATCAGCTGTGGCAGGTGCCGGTGCCACAAAAGGAGCCTGCCCTTTCTCCGTCTTCCCCGGGCTGGACTTGTGGGCCGCACCCCCTCCCCGCCTCGGAGCTGCCTATGTCCTGCATCGCAGGGCCTCTGTCCTCGTTCTACAGCCTGAGTTCTGGATCTACAGGCCCATATTGAGGGTTCGGATCCCTCCTAAAATGTGGGCCTGAAGTTTCTCATTTCCTCCCACTGGGTTTTTAGAGTCTTTTCCTTTTCCAACACATTTTTCCTTAACCAACCTTTTTCCTTAACTTTCCTTAACCAACACCTTTTTCACAAAGATAGAAATCCTGGTTTTATTCCCTGTTTTGTCATTGATGATTTGAGAATCATAACGAGACCTTTTTAAGTTCTGCGCCACATGGTACTTTACCAGTGAGATTAGCTCCACGCGGTGAGTTCTGGCAACCCGTATTACAGACTTAAAACAAAAACGAGATTTAGAGGCTGGAAAAGTTATTTTTAAAGTTATAATTAAAATATTAATTCCTTTTGACAGATTAGGGCCCTTCAATGATTACTTGACATGAAAATCTCACATATTGCTACTTTGAACCTCTAACAATAAGTGAAAATAAGTTTTGGCCTCATCCCTGACATTTCTGCCTGGGTTGGGAACAGATCAAATCAAATGTACCCTTTTGCTGTATCGTCTCCTGCTCTCCCGGCGTGAGCGTGAATTGAGACGCCACAGTTCAAAGACTTGTACGACTATTTTCAGACACATCCTGCTAATTAGTATCCTGATGCTAACACTGATGCATGCTGGGAAAGCCTCATGTACAACAACCTGTGAGTGCTATTTCTATTGCCGAGGCTTTGAGCGCGCAGATGGTACTGGAAACTGGTAGTGTTTCTCAGACCTAGTTTAGACCGAGCCATTCTGCCAAGTTACAAAGTCTAAAGCAGACCTGGAGTCGTGTTTTGAACCATTCACGCCGCTAGTATCAGGACAATCTGGCACCGACTCCTTCCGTTAAATACTTGATATTTTATGAATCTTATGGAAGAAACCTCATGGACAGAGCTGCCTTTAAAGGTGTAAATACTTATACTTAAACCACAGAAATGGAAGTAGTTAGTGACATGTTTTAAAGCTGTGTTACCACGACAATACAACTCTGTGATAAAGTGTAGTTTTCATTTGTGTTTTTGGCACATAATGTTTTTCAGATCTTAAGATCAGTTTTTTTAGAGAGAAACATGAAAAGAGAGGAGCAACCTCAGCTCTCAGCCCAAAGAGTCAAAAAGTATGCAAAATATAACACATTTTCTATTAACACGAACAGAGCATGTTGAGGTTTGATGTGTTCACAATATTTAAACTTTTACGACTCTTTCTGTTGTGTACATTTATTGATGAAAAAAAGTGTCACTGGATTCAAAGTCAAAACAACAGACATGTCTAAATTATTCACGTACTACTTTGGAGATGATTATTTTTTCAATATGGTTAGTTATACTTTATAGTCCCTGTGCAAAAATGTGTCCTCGTTATTTCACCCATCCTGATTCCACTAGGGAAGTGATGGGCAAACCCCGGCCCACGGGCCAGATGCGGCCCTTTGGATGTGTCTGTCACACCCCTTGCCCACCTCAGTTAATTTTAGATCTTGTACAAAGACTATAAATCCCTCTGTACCGCGCTCCTTGCTCTGCTGCAATATTTAGCGTTTTATATAGAATATCCCTGTGTACAAAATGAAACCTGAGAAAAACATCACAGATTAGGTCCGGCCCATGATAGCAGGCTGATGTTCAAATGTGGCCCCCAGGAGGAAAAGTTTGGCCATGCCTGCTCTAGGGCCTCTGTCAGGAGCAGTGGATCGGTGCCATCAGAGACTTGGCCGTGTCCAGAGCCACTTTGATCATGCTGAAAACTGTGGCTTCACGTCATGCAAAGGGGCAAAGCTCAGAGCGATACGGCAGGAACGACCCCACAGATACAATGAAAATGAGGTAAGTCAGTCCCTGAAAGAGGCTGCAGGTTTTAACACCAACCTGAGCAGAACACTAGACTCCACCCATTTCCTCAAATCTACAGGTTAAAACTGGACTCACCTGTGGAAATGGGCGGAGTCTGGCGTTCTCTTACTTTGCTTTCTTTGACACTATTCACTTCATTTTGATTCCATTGAGTCACATCGTAGCCCTGTCCTGCTCCACCAAATCCACCCGCGTGAAGCAGCTATTCCAACAAAGCACAAATCTCTTTGGAGTTAAAACAACGGGTTAAAATGATCCGAAGCTCGTTAGCCAAAGCGTCCCGAGCGGCTGCTAATTAGCACATAATAGGACAGGCGCGGCAGCACACGGGGGCACGCAATTTAAGAATAAAGCTTTTTTCCCCTTGCCCCATCCCGTGTGCAAGAGGCAGTCCATAGCAGCACAATTAGCCCGCTACCATTAGCTTCTCCCGTCAGCCGGAACCCATCAGTTATGATTAGCTAACAAGGCGTCCACGGCACAGCGCGAGGCTTAGACAGGTCCCAAAGAGCTCCCGCATTTATTAATTATCATTTTTCCCCTCCTATTTTTGCAGTGTAGGCAGCTGGTTTTGCTTTAATTTGTTCGGAGCGCTCTGCCGCATCGAGAGGGGCTGCGATACAAGCCCACGGTACAGAGTGTAATGATTAAAGCAGAAAGATCCGGAAAAATACTCTGTTCTCGACGGGAGTCACCGGCCCTCAGTGCTTTTGTGCTCCATCCAGGCTGATACCAGGAAGCTTGAGCTCTGTCCCTGGTTTTCAGCATTGTCCCAAACACATGACATTCTGCTTTTGACGTTATGACTCTTTTATGTAATATGTACCGACAGGGCGAAGCGGACCCCGGTGAAGTGGACCCCGACGAAGTGGACCCCGACGCCCGTCTGCTTATCCCTTACGTAGCCCAAAATCACAACAGTAGTTTTCTCTGAGGACTTTACAAAACTGTTGAATCGGCCCCAACACAGATCAGAGAATAAAACATGTAAATGTAAATGCACATACTAAAACATTCTGCAGACTTGGATTTGAGGTAAAGCCATGAGCCTTTTGTTCAAAAATAAGAGGAAAACAAACAAACTCTTTCAATTGTGACATAACAAAGCACTTTTGCAGAGCAGTGATAAATTGGTTAAAAATAAAAAGTGCTTTTTGGGAACAAGGATCATCATAATTACAGGTAGAGACATCTTACGCAAAAACAAATGGCAGATTAAATCCCTCTCATGACATTTAAAATTTAACTCAACGCTTTTTTCCTGTCAATATTTTAAAAAATTGAAAATATATGCGATGACTCAAAATGTTAAAAATATAAATTGACAATTTTACATTTAGCCTTAAGTTTACAAAGTCATCTCCTACAATACAATACAAAACTATTTATTCTTGTTTAACCCTAAATCACTACAGCAGTATCATCTCAGAGACTTAACAAAACCATTGAAATCACCAACACAGATCAGAGAATCAACAGTTGAGACACAATGACACATTATCTATTGGACCATAGGGAGGAATCTTTCCAATCTTTTGTTTGGAAAGTTTACAAAAACACGCAATACATTAAGTGTCCAACAGAAGCAGGTTATTGCTGCCCCTGACTAAGCCCCGGTGATCCAAGATGGCGTCCTATTCAAATAAATGGCTTGTGCTCAGTAGCGCATGTGACTTCATGGAGACCAGGAGACTGGCAGAACTCGCTCATATTTGGGCATCGTCTGGTCCTCCTGGTTCTGAGCAGTGGACGAGCTCCCATGATGCTTTGCACCAAATAAGCGTGTGTGGTTCTCAGGCACGTGCACAGAGGGGCTCAGCGCAGCGGTAGAGTGGGAAGGAAAGGAGCAGAGTTTGTGGATGTAAAGTGTGGATTTAAAGAAAACCGAAAGGATTTAAGAAGAAAAAAAGGTTCAGGATGACAAGGGACACTAAAATCCCCACAAAATCTGATCTTTATGAAAGCTGTAGGTTCTCTGTCAGGTTCTCTGTCAGCTGAGGTCGAGCTGTTTTAGTTTACATTGAGTTCTATGGGACTTTTTCTGGGTAGCCAACGTGAATTTAGTCTGCAGTACCACGGGCGCCCCCTGTGGCCATGGGTGGGATAGCTGTAAGCCAGTGATACTCTATCCAGTTATTACAATAGATCCATGCCCCTGACACTGCCCCAGAGTAAAGTTATTTTTTCAATACACAGGGGACATTTATTGTGGCATTTGAGCAGTAACCACGACAACAACACGGTCCTGATGCAGAAACATATGAACTGATCCTGGCTTTAAATACTGTTCATATGTCTTTTCAAATGTACTTTGTAAAACTTGCTCTAATACAAGCCAGATGGTGACAATCAGGCAAAAACACACACACTCAAGTTTTAATCACTTTTCCCCCAACTATGGTTTCTCCCTCCCACTCTCTGATCCTTCTGTCGGCTCCTCCCCCTCTCTGTTCCTTCTGTTGGCTCCTCCCCCTCTGATCCTTCTGTCGGCTCCTCCCCCTCTCTGTTCCTTCTGTTGGCTCCTCCCCCTCTGATCCTTATGTTGGCTCCTCCCCCTCTCTGGTTCTTCTGTTGGCTCCTCCTCTTCTCTGGTCCTTTTGTTGGCTCCTCCCCCTCTCTGGTCTTTCCGTTGGCTCCTCCCCCTCTCTAGTCCTTCCATTGGCTCCTCCCCCTCTCTAGTCCTTCCATTGGCTCCTCCCCCTCTCTGATTCTTCTGTTAGCTCCGCCTCCACAGCGCTCGGAGGTGTGAAGGATGCATCTGGAAATAGACGGTTGCCGTGGCGAGCAGAGCCTCCTGTTAGTTTTGCTGTTGATTGCGGCTTTGTGGTAGAAAGACTCCATCTGGAGAAGCAGCTTCTGCGGCGGCTCCGACATCATCAGAATCAACAAACCCGCTCCCGATTTATCCCGCTCCTCACACCTCTAACAGGCAGAAAGCAGACAGCGGCCTCTGCAAACTTTCTCCAACAGGATTTCCTCAGATTTTGTAAAACACGTGTTTTTGATGCAAGTTACAATTTTGCAATTTGGTCCAAGCTCAAAAGGAGAAGGCTGAAGTGAGATTGTCACGAGGTGGAGGGCAGGAGGACTTTTGAATCTGCCCATAGGAGCCAAAAGTGACGGAACATTAGTTTCAACGACTGAGAGAGGCGTGACTACGTTTGTTATGTTTACAGTCTATGAATACAACGTCTTCTGCTGTGACACCGCATCGTTTGTTATTTTTATTTTCCCAAGATGCATTAGTAATCCATAGGAGAAGTGAATCCCCAGGTCCTGTAAGCGTGGCACATTGTTCCTCTCACTTGTTTTTCTGAAGTCACCTTTGGTCACTTTACTTCCTCCAGTATTTTTGTCGTTATTTGTTGCTGTAGCTGCGTCTTTCCCACAGCTGCTCAGACGGGTTCTCAAGTGAATTGCCAGTTTACAATTTTACAAGGATTGGTCCTGCAGCACAAGGTCACACACCTGTGGCTCTGAGAGTGGAAGGCTAAACTGACCGTGAGACGCACAACATCGCCGCAGGGCTCAGGGCCAGGCGCAAAACGGATCTTGGCTCAACGCAAAGTGGAACAACTCTGAGCGGAATATCAGGTATGTTATGGTTCAGGTGTAATTCCCGTTTTATTTTGTAATTTGTTTAAATACCTGTGTCTTCTTTAATGGTACTTCCTGTCTGATGACCGGCCCCGCCCCCATGTGTCTCACCTGTGTTCCGTCACTCCCTGTTCAGTCATTGTCATTTCACGTCTGTTTTAGTTCCTGTCTTCAGTCCGTCTTCAGCTACAGTAATCTTTTAATCGCATTTTACAGACCAAGCCTTTCACATATAGTTGCATTTGCTCCACACGATGATGACAGAAGCTTCCAACCAACACCAATCACTCACTTTACATTCAGACCTATTGTATATAATGTTTTTAGTGGTCGAAACCGGAGCACCCGGAGGAAACCTATGCAGAACATGCTCCAGACAGAGTATAGCATAGTAAAGTAAAGATAGCATAAGTGATAGTGAGGACGAGGAATGAGTTCAGATCTTTGGAATAAAACAGAATACAAAGGGAAACCGGAGCACCCGGAGGAAACCTATGCAGACACAGAAAGTATAGTATAGTATAGTAAAGTAAGTATAAGTGTTATTGAGGACTAGGAATGAGTTCAAATGTTTGGAACAGAATACAGAGGTAGAAGTAATAATTCTCTTTCCATTTCCTCTCTGATGTTGCAGAGGTGACACTTCCCTGTGATGTCGCACGTGCCCGCAGCAGCTGTGCAAGGGTTAACCTCAATCATGGAGCAATGCCTCATGGGAAATCTGCTTTAACTAACTGTAATATGAGAATAATTAGGACAAAATGCAAAAACTGAGACGTGCATTGATCCGCATTCATAAGCAGGACGCCTCGGTGTGCGAGCGCCGCGGTCGCTAATGGACGCCCAGATTCTTATCGATCGGTCACAGCCGCAAACTGTAAATAAGACAGTTATTAAAGACTTTATGTTTGGTTATGATTTATATTTTTGATCAATCTTTTGTTCAACATTGCGTGAAAATAAAGAATAAAGATGAAAAATTATGTTTCACATCATATTTTAAAGGGTCATACATTTAGTTTTTTAACATCAAGTTATCATAAAACCCCACAAGTATATACCTACAAACACACACACTTGCACACACATTCTATTAAAGTGTATGCGTACACAAAGGAAATCGAGTCAAACTGAGAAAGACTGAATTTAAAGCTGGGGTATGTAACTTTCAAACCATTGGAATAGATCCATTTGTTTGAAAGTTTTATGCAATGTGGGTGAAGTGTCTTGCCTCAGGACACAACAACAGTTTGGCACTTTACAGCCGCAGCTGCCCCACTGTGGCACCTGGTGTTTCCAGAGGTCTCCCATCACAGTATTAACCAGACCCTGCTCTTCTTAGCTTCAGAGATCTGACTGGATCTGGCTTTCACCGGCAGGTATGGCCACAATATCTGAAATTTAACACTATGACCCTCCCTCTGCTCGTGATTGGTCGGCTGAAATGTCACTCTGGTCGCTCTCCGTAGAAATGAGAGGAATGAGATTATAAAGTCATAAAAGGTAAAGGTGCACTTAATTGATCCCCGTAGGGCAATTCATCCCCTGCACTTGACCCATCCTGATGCCGCTAAGGCTTACGTTAGGAGCAGTGGTCGCCGTAGTAACAGCGCCCGGGAACCCATCTCCAAATGTTGATGCTCGGCTTGGTCAGGACCAGAGCTGGAGGATTTAACCTAGTGTGCATGTTTTTAGAGGTAGGGGAAACCCTGGAGCACCTGGAGGAAACTTACGCAAGCACAGGGAGAACATGCAAACTCCACTCAGAAAGACCCTGTTCCGACTGGGATTCGAACCCAGGACCTTCTTGTTGAGAGGCGAGAGCTGCTACCCACTCATCCACCGTACTGCCCTGCGTGTAAAGCCGATAGCTCATTACTGGCAAATTTAACATATTTAATACATACACATGTAATAATTCAGTGTTAATAATCAGCAGAGAATCTGACAGTAAACGGCGTCGACGCGGAATAACAACACTCAAAATACGTCTTCCACTCACCTCCAGAATATGCAGTGGTGGTGAGACCCTCAGAACAGGTCTGGAGAGGATTAATGACTTAAAAACAGCCTACCTTTCACACCTCTAACCATGACTGATCAGACATGTTGAATACAGGACGGCACAGTGGCGCAGTGGTTAGCGTTTGTGCGTCACAGGGTTCCATTCCACCTCCAGGTCTTTCTGTTTAGAGTTGGTATGTTATCCCTGCATGTATTTGTTTAGGTTTTCTCCTGGTGCTACGGTTTCCCCTATACTGTTCGGCGACCCTGCTCCCATCTCTGTGCTGAGTGAGATAGAAATCCAAACAGAACAATTGTAAAGGGCTTTGTGACTCTGGTCTGTGAAAGGCGCTAAATAAATAAATATTACTTACTGCTTACATGTGTTCTGGACGAACAGGGGAAGGCTCCAGATATGCCTGATGATAAATGTAAAAAACCCTCAATGAAGGTGTGGATTTATGGCGATAACTTGTGGGTCACATCAGAACCTCGTGCTAGATGTGAGCCAGATGTTTACCAGATCAAACTAAAGTGGGCCACGCATTTCAGTTTTTAATCTAGTTTTTTGTGGCCCATTTACAAAGACAACATCAAAATGAGAGCACTAAACCACAAAATGTTGAGAGTGACACAACCGGTTAATGAGCGAGAGGAGTTTACTTTCCAATGTAAGTCAGCAAAACTTCATCCATGAGCGCTTCCCTACAGGGCTGCATTGAGCTGGGGGTTAGCGTTCATGTCCATCTGTATACAGTCTATAGTCCTCAGTGACTTTGCTTCACTATGAGACTATAACCGTACATTTACTTGGATCCTGTCAGGCCTCTGAGGCTAAGCAGGACAGGGTCTGGTTAGTACTGTGATGGGAGACCTCTGGGAACACTATGTGCCATAGTGGGGCGGCTGTAAAGTGCCTAACTGCTGTTCTGTCCTTAGGCAAGACACTTCCCCCACATTGTCTGGAGTGAGTCTGTTGTGTGTGTGAATAGTCGGTGGTGGTGGGAGGGGCTGATGGCACAGACTGGTTGCCTCGCTTCTGTCAGTGTGCCCCAGGGCAGCTGTGGCTATAATAGCAGTTTATCACCATCATCTGAAGCGTCTTTGAGTGACCAAAAAAGACTCTATATAAAACTGATGCATTATTATTATGTATTGTATTTATCTTGAGATTTAAAATGTCTATAATTATCTCAGGTGTCTTGAATAATAACTATAAAGCAGGGAACAGCACAACTTATCTTCTGGAACAAACATTTAATTACTGGTCATCGTTGTTTCTGCAGCTGGACGACTGCATTTCTCCCACGAGGATCAATAAAGTATCTATCGACCTTTGGTGATGACTCTTTCTTTCAGAGTGTCATGTCATATTTGGCATTAAAGAACAAAAAGAAAGTCTGGTGAGTGGTGGACTTCCAGAGGGAGGAGGGACAAGGGTCCAGAGGAAGGGAGGAGGGGACGGTCCAGATGGAGGAGGGGCCGGGTCCAGAGGGAGGAGGGGCCGGGTCCAGAGGGAGGAGGGGCCGGGTCCAGAGAGAGGGAGAAGGGGCCGGGTCTTAGAGGGAGGAGGGGCCGGGTCCAGAGGGAGGAGGGGCCGGGTCCAGAGAGAGGGAGGAGGGGCTGGGTCCAGAGGGAGGAGGGGTGGGTCCAGATGGAGGAGGGGCCGGGTCCAGATGGAGGAGGGGCCGGGTCCAGAGGAGGGGCCGGGTCCAGAGGGAGGAGGGGCCGGGTCCAGAGAGAGGGAGGAGGGGCCGGGTCCAGAGAGAGGGAGGAGGGGCCGGGTCCAGAGAGAGGGAGGAGGGGCCGGGTCCAGAGGGAGGAGGGGCCGGGTCCAGAGAGAGGGAGGAGGGGCCGGGTCCAGAGGGAGGAGGGGTGGGTTCAGATGGAGGAGGGGCCGGGTTCAGATGGAGGAGGGGCCGGGTCCAGAGAGAGGGAGGAGGGGCCGGGTCCAGAGAGAGGGAGGAGGGGCCGGGTCCAGAGGGAGGAGGGGCCAGGTCCAGAGGGAGGAGGGGCCAGGTCCAGAGGGAGAAGGGGCCGGGTCCAGAGGGAGGAGGGGCCGGGTCCAGAGAGAGGGAGGAGGGGCCGGTCCAGAGAGAGGAGGAGTGGGTCCAGAGAGGAGGGGTGGGTCCAGAGAGAGGAGGGGTGGGTCCAGAGAGAGGAGGGAACGGGTCCAGAGAGAGGAGGGGCCGGGTCCAGAGAGAGGAGGGGCCGGGTCCAGAGAGAGGAGGGGCCGGGTCCAGAGGGAGGAGGGGCCGGGTCCAGAGAGAGGGAGGAGGGGCCGGGTCCAGAGAGAGGGAGGAGGGGCCAGGTCCAGAGAGAGGGAGGAGGGGCCGAGTCCAGAAGACGCTTTCTGAGGTGCAGATGCATATCCAGTCTTAATACAAGTGCACGGAAGTTTTCAGAATTTTTTGTTTACGTTTTCATGACAAAAACACTGTTGTAATGCGAGAAAAGGCGATCCCGAAAAACCCGGAAGTAGATACCGGCACATTTTAAGATACCGGCACATTTTCGGACACATTTGCAAAGGATCGAATTATGGATTTAGGTTAGGTTTAGCGGACCGCCCTGTCGGTACTTATTTTCCGATAATGACCTTCGTAATATACGTTATCCCTTACGTAGTTATCGATTTCTGACCGGTGCTCTGTCTGCAAACAAAGAGAAATGAATAAAGTTATTTGAATTGAAAGAACGCATCACAAACATGTTGCAGGAGCCAATTATGTTTTTATAAATAATATAGTATCACTTACACATGAAATACTTCACTAATACACAACTTATTTTAATGTATTGATGTCTTCTTCTTCTTGAACATGAATATATGTTAAGTCTTTATTGTTGTTTTCTTTCTCTTACTCTGTTGTTTTTTTTCTATGTTCAAATAAACATTAATTCATTCATTCATAAATAACACAGGATTACTATTTCCACAACACATGATCAAACAAACCTGTCTCACAGCGGGCCGACCACAAAGGCCACTCATAAATAATAATGTATTGATTCAAATCGGAAAAATACAGGTATTATTAATTTTGGCAGGTTTAAATGGGAAATTACAATAAACATTTGAAGAATAATAATTATTATATAGATAGTAAGTAGATACTAACAATAACGTGAATGGGTTACATTGATAATAATAATTGACTTCTGAATCTAGAAATCATTTTACTTCACGATCTGGAAACCTTATGTTTAAAAATCCAATATTTTAGTATTTATGTATTTGTATTCTCATTTCTTCTTGTCAGAGCGGAAGAAGTGGAGAGGACGGAGAAAGCGCTCAAGCACAGAGAGGGGTGCAAGTTTATTTGTATAGAACAGTTCATACACAAGTCAAAGAACTGAACGAAAACAAGACAGGAGGCCAGTCCCTGTGCTCCTCAGAGCCCCAGCAGGAGGCCAGTCCCTGTGCTCCTCAGAGTCCCAACAGGAGGCCAGTCCCTGTGCTCCTCAGAGTCCCAGCAGGAGGCCAGTCCCTGTGCTCCTCTGAGTGTTACAGGTCCAAGGCCATAGAGAGACTTATAATAATATAATAATAATAATATCTTTATTTGTATAGCACTTTTAAAAACAGTGTTTACAAAGCGCTGCACAGTCAGCATGATAAACAATAAAATGCAATCATAATCATAATGCAAGGTCAAAATAATTAGAGACTTGTATAAACAGAGCTGATTTAAAGTCTATTCTCTGAGCCACAGGAGCCAGTGCAGAGACTTAGACCAGGATGAATGCGACCGTACTTCCTGGTTCTAGTCAGGACTCAGATGACGTATTAACAAACAGACTAAACCCACAAAACTCATCATTCAAAAGCCTTTACTCCCACATGGGTGAATGCAACAACTCTCCAGGTATGATATTTTCTTCATGTAGAATCCAACACATGGCAGAGCAGTGTAAATCTCAGAGAGTAAAATAAAAACCAGAGCATAATCTCCCCCCACAGGCCCCGCTCGGTGGGACAGGACACGCTCGCCTTTGTTTTGCAGATAAACACAGATTGAAAAGACACAGGCAGGTTTGTCGTCGGCTTTGAGCGCCAGTCACCGGGGAACGGCGCCGCGCTCTGAGTAAAAGAAAGCTTTGTAGAGACGCAGACGAGAAGCGGCTCCACGGCAATGTAAATGTATATAAGCAACGCTGAGTCGTCTCCGGGGAATGGAAGGACAAGGAACTATGTGGCTTTGTACTCCCTGTTCTATCTACTGTGGAATTTTATAAACAGGTTTCTTTTAATATGGATTTGATATGAGCAGTGTTATAACAGTGGTTTATTTGTCTTTCTCTTTGATTCCTGCACCTATCACCTATTCCCGCCTAGCCTGGTCTCACCACACCATAGTACTAATTGTATTTCGTACTAAGGTCTGGATTTGCTCCGTTAACAGGTGGGAGGGGTTAACTCCTTTTGTAGATTGAAACGATTGGATCTGAGTTTACCGTGACGTATGTAACTGAGTTAGTTGCTAACGTTAGCCTTTAGCCTAGCTTTAGCCATCTCCTTAGCCTCTAATGGGGCTCTATGCATAATCTATGCAGCCACTCAATCGTACCCCAAGGAGAGATGGATGTAAAAAGAGAGAGTGGAAGTCCCAGAAGCCTTCTCTTCATCTATAGAGAATCCACAGTACAAGAGACTTAACAATAGTACATCCCAGCTCTGTATGTACTGGTCGTGAGGTCACTGTTGGTCCCACTGGATCGGTCAGCGGGGGTCAGCCAGGACTTAGTCAGTTTTGGACTTCAGTTGTGGGGAAAATCCAACCCAACACAAGTATTAATAATCCACATTGACATATAAACTTGACATTATGATGTGAAAAGCTGGTATGGTGTCCTGAAGTCCAGTGACTGTTGAATAAAACAGTTTGTGGATGTCTTTTGTCTTCTTTGCTGTTGTTTTTTCTGAAACTACCTCTGATAAAAGAGCAGGTGTGTGTTCGCTTCTCCAACAGCGTTTATGGGCTGCATCCAAAAAGTTTAGATCCCTGCTTTCTTTTCTTATCCTATATAATGTTTTAAGACAATTACTATAAAGTTATTATTACTCAATTCTAGATAACTGCATTCATTCATGTATTTCAATGATTTTGTGTAAGCTCTCAGTCGCAGAGGGATTAGTCAAAGCAAAGAAAGGTTTCTCACCCATCATCTGTACTTCTTAATTTCAAAGATGTTCATGGGGCCAGAGTTTACGAGTTTTGACTCCTTTTCCACAAATGGTAAATAGAATTACATTTTTAAATACATATTTAATGTGTGTTGCAATACGTGCAACACACGGTGAAACTATAGTAAATACTGTTTTATTGTGTATTCATGTCTGTATATAGAATTTGCATGTGTGTGTGTGAATATAACAATATAGAAAAGTATCTCCACAAACTAAAGAAGGTAAATATAACAATAATAAATGTATAATTTATACTTGAACAAATAAAATCAATCAAAACATAATGTTGTTCAGTCTTTTGAAAGTAAATACATTTTTGGAAATAAGTGTCGATGCTTAATGTAATATTCCTTTCTTACTTAATTAAACGAGACGAAACGAAAGTAGGTGTATCTGTTGAATATGGACATAGTCAAGTCTTTTTTGACGGAATGGTGACTCAGACCACAGACAAAAACCAATCCTTTTGTCTGTGGTCTGAGTCACAAGTTCAAATCTCATGAGACCAGTCTCCCTGAAGTCTGTCGCCAGCTTAAAGAAGATGTCTTTGTAGCCGTTCCAGGAGACACCTTTCTTCTGGTGTTTTTTGGAGCGTTCCCAAGCGTCTGTCTGTGTGTCTCTTATTTTTTGGCCTCTGTGGGCTCCTGTACAGACCTGGGCTACAGCGGGGCCTTTTGGGGTGGGGCCTATGGCAGAGGAACAGAGGCCTCTCCAGTCCGTTAATATGCATGTCCACCAGGCAGGCCCTTTGTGCTGGCTCCACGGAGAATAGCATTACACACAAGATGGCCGCCCGCCCAATTCGTCATACATAAACATCTGCATATGGTACGGTACGAGGACGGGAGGGGGGGGGGGCAACTTTGACTTGAACTTTTGGAAGAGCATTTGGCTTGGGTGTGTGGTACAGGATTTATTTGCTCAATTTTACCCAGATATTTGTACCTTACGATGTTGAAACTTTGTTGCGTTTTTTATTTCTATTTCTATTTATTTAGAAATTGGATACAGTACAAAACTAGTGGGTGGGACTCACTCACTCCATGGTCCCGCCCACTGCTCGCCTCAGCCCCCACCTTTGTGTTGCACCAGCTAATTGTTCCGGAGACTGACATGGTGGAGCTCCTTCAGTTCTTGTTTCCTCAGTCTGCAAATGACTGTAAGTTTCAGTACCTGTGATCCCTTTATTTGGTTAATATTCTTCCTCTTCCTTTTTATTAGTCCATTTCTGGGTCGAGGAGGTGCCAGTCAGAGCTGCCACCCATTGCTCATAGCACGGGTCCCTAGCTGATCCTCCGGCATGTTGTTTTAAGACAGTCAGAATGTACTCGATTCAATTATTACCTCATTATTTATAATATTTTGGAGTGTATCAAAATAAAAACCTGCATATAAGCTGAATCCTAGCCTGGACTCTGATCCATGATCATTTCCTACATGTACGTCTGGGTCTGATCCTAGTGGCTACAGTTTCCTCGATTGTATCCACTCCAACCAATCAGAGAGCGGGGGAGGCGGGTGTAGTTTGACAATGGCGGTGAATGCCATAGTGCAGTAATTTGTTCTGGTTTGACTCCAAATATCAAGAAATTGAAGCCAGAGCAAGAAGAATGTTTAGCAAATGTCAATGCTGCAAATATGTTGTGACTCTACTCCGGGCTCCGTTAGTGGTAAAGAAGATCTAAAGCTAGGCTAAATGCTAAAGCTACTCTAAATGCCTCACTCACTCGGGTGCATTACATACGTCACGGTAAACTCAGATCCAATCGTTTCAATCTGCAAAAGGAGTTAACCCCTCCCACCTGTTCACGGAGTCAATGGAGCAAATCCAGACCTTAGTACGAAATGAAATGAGTATGTTGGTGTGGTAAGACCAGGCTAGCTGAATCCATTAAAAGCTATAGTATTATTGTGCTTAACTAGCAAAACATAAGTAAAATAGTAGAATATTTTAAATAGTACTTTACTGTTAATGTTAAATGCCAGAATACTTTCAAAAGCAGGTGCAAAAAGAACTTGGACTTACTTTGGTCCAACTCCCAAATCTATAGACCGACTTTTACCACTTGATCTTTTTCTCTTTTATCCTTCCCGCTTATAAGTCCACTGTTCTAATAAAATCTTTCATATTCCAGTCTTCCGTGGGTCTGCATCAATAATGTAGCTCCATTATAAAAACTCACCTGAGGAGCACTTTCTTTTCTCAAATATTTCAAAAGTAACCTCTACATTTCTCTCACAGCCTCGTCCCATGTCCTTTTCGTGTTTGCTTCAAAGTCCGGCAGCTGCTAACGACCTCGTTCCGCCGCCGAAGAGGTGAAGAAAAGCCCATAGGTGTTTAGGAAAGTTTCAATCCCCGACCAGACTTCTCACAGAGATTATTTGGAAGTGCAGTGGGCGGGAGTCAGGAGGAGGTCTGACAAGATTCCGATGTTTTGTTGTTCTTAATGAAGGATTTTTCTATGAGAAGAGGCAAACTAAGTAGATTGGTCGGTAGATAGATGAGTGGATGGGTGGGTGGGTTGGTAGGTAGGAAGATAGATAGATAGATAGATAGGGAGGGAGGGAGATGGACAGATAGATAGATAAATATATAGGGAGATAGATAGGGAGGGAGATGGATGATAGATAAAACAGCTCTGCTTGTTACAAGTCTCTCCATGGCCTCGCACCAAAATATATTAGTGACATGTTAGTCCCATATGAACCAGCCCGGACTCTGAGGAGCACAGGGACTGGACTCCTGCTGGGACTCTGAGGAGCACAGGGACTGGACTCCTGCTGGGACTCTGAGGAGCACAGGGACTGGACTCCTGCTGGGACTCTGAGGAGCACAGGGACTGGACTCCTGCTGGGACTCTGAGGAGCACAGGGACTGGACTCCTGCTGGGACTCTGAGGAGCACAGGGACTGGCCTGCTGTTATTGCCCAGAGTCAGAACTAAACATGGGGAGGCTGCTTTTCAGATTCATGCTGCTAAAATCTGGAACAATCTTCCTGAAGATGTGAGACAGGCCTCCTCTCTGACAATGTTTAAAACCAGGTTAAAAACAGCTCTGTTTAGCTGTGCATACAACTGAGGGATTTTATATTTTTATCTTTCGTTTTAATGTTCTGTGATTATTTATGATTTTAATGCTTTCTTGTTCAGCACTTTGAATTGCCTTGCGTATGAATTGTGCTATACAAATAAACTTGCCTTGCCTTACCTTGCCTTGCCATAGATAGATGGAGAATGAGATGGATAGATAGAGAGGGAGATGGATAGATAGATAGATAGATGGGGGGAGACGGATAGATAGATAGGGAGATAGGTAGAGAGGGAGATAGGTAGGTAGGTATGAGGTAGGAAGGGAGGAAGAGAGATTGATACGGAGGAAGATGGATAGATAGAGAGAGAGGGAGCTAGATAGGTTTAGATAGATAGATAGATTATTGATCCCCGTTGGAGAAACCCACCTGGATTTACACTTGCTCTGCTTGGATTAGCTCTGCTCTGGTCTGGACCAGTGTAAAACCATGAACGCTGTACTGCAGTAACATTTACAGCGGGAAAAAAGCAAGATAAATACACATTGTAAAACACAAAACAACAGTGGTTTTAGAGCTACATGAAACTACATTTGAAATATCAGATGAAGGAGATGCAGACACATGGCTCACAAAGGCCGGGGAACACTGGTTAGATGAGAGCGTGTGCGACTGCTTCTTACGGTTTTCGAAGTATATCTTGCTTCAAACTCCAAACTTTCCAACAAAAGTGGAACCAAACGAGCGCCATTCTCTCGTGATGTCGCCGCACATTTCCCACATGAATATTGTACGCCGATTTCTTCCGGATTGCCGCTTTATCTGCCGCCCGCATTCCCGCTGTTTCGACACCCGACGGCACGGTGTTAGCCGCGCCGCCCCGCTGCTAACTTTGTTTTCGGGGCCGCTTCGCTTTCCGCATAAATTACACACGTGTTTCGTCTGCCCGTCTTTTGTGATTCAGAAATAATAAAAACAAATACATCGCACGCATGAGTTTTAACACAATTTGGAGTTTCTTTCGGTATTTCTCTTAAGGCTTTAACGGCGCTGGAGAAAGCAGCGGTTCATTGGCGATGTTTGCTAGCTTGATCTGTTTCATGTGTTCTGTGTTTTTTTTGCTTCAATGCTTTTATTTGATCTAAAGTTTCTCATCAAAGTCGTGTCAATTTAGTTACAAAGTTTCCAAAGTGGTCACGCTTCAAACTCCGAGCTAAAACGCCAAAGAGGAGAATGCTTAAAACACACGGCAATACTGCGGAGAAAGATATTTTACTAGGATTTTATTATATACAGTATATTAAAGTGGTATTTTGGTAGTACTACTAGTATCATTGTAGTAGATTGACCTAAACTTATTTAAGGATTAGCGTTTTATGAATTCAACCAAAAACTAGATGCCTATAACATACAACGTACAAGCTACTAGTATTTTAGAATATATTGTGTATATTACAGTGATATTTTGGTAGTACTTCTATAACTGTAGTAGTGCTGGTCTTATTAACCTTATTTAAGGATTAGCGTTTGTTAATTCAACCAACTTTCAATCTTCCAAAAACTAGAAGCCTGTAACACACACCCATACTGCACAGGAAGCTTTTTTTACTAGTTTTTTAGTATATTATGTATTTTATAGTGGTATTTTTGTAGTACTAGTGATACTGTAGTAGTGCTGGTCTGATTGATTTAACCTTAATTAAGGATTAGCGTTTTATGAATTCAACCAATTTTCAATCTACCAAAATCTACTAAAATCGTTTTCTTCCATCACTCATTTTCACATGTGTCTGTCTCATGTTTTAGATCAGATTTTTCAGACAAGTGAAAGAGAGCGGACCACCCTCCCTCGACCAATCAGCACAAAGTGTATGAAAAATGCATGTTCTGGTTTGATTTGTTCCCAACATTTTGGACAAACATAATGCGTTAGAAAGTAGCGGCTTTTTAGGATGTGCAATGGCTTCTGGGATTGTTTTCTGTAATATTCATTATAAAAGCAGCCATCTGCCACTAGATGGCGGTGTTGCTCATGTCAGATTTTCTACATGCATTGATTATATTTTTCTAAAGAAGAGGCAGCAGACATGGATGTACAAAGTGCTTAGCCATGCCTCTTTTGGTTATTGCCATATTCTCTGCTCGTATGAAACATTTATACAACATTATATTTATTTTTGTGACTGCAATTGTGCCAGTATTTATCATACAGCGAGTTTAAATCTTTAGTTCCTCGGCAAGGTGTAAAATGTCAACAAAAAACACTGAAAACAATACAATATAAAATAGATATATATACTTTATTGATTGATGAAATTCAGGAGTCCAGCAGCAGAAAACACATCCATGTAAACACATACATTTGTAACTAACTACCTAACAATCGTGCATATTTTGTAACCCATATACACTACCGTTCAAAAGTTTGGGGTCACCCAATAAGTCACACTTATTCACCACCATACGTTGTGAAATGAATAGAAAATAGAGTCAAGACATTGACAAGGTTAGAAATAATAATTTGTATTTGAAATAAGATTTGTTTTACATCCAACTTTGCTTTCGTCAAAGAATCCTCCATTTGCAGCAATTACAACATTGCACCAAAAACCAGACATTTGCAGCTAGAATAGTCATTTACCACATAAGCAATGTATAGTGTATTTCTTTACATTTAAGACTAGTTTAAAGTTATGTACAGCTTTTCCTTCAAAAATAAGGACATTTCAATGTGACCCCAAACTT